GGCAACCTCCTTCTTCCCACAGCCCTGCCAGTGTCTAGTGCTCCACCTCTTGTCCCCCACCGCTGCCTCCAGGTGTCTCCCCTCTGCCCCAGCACTCCCAGCCCCATCCTCCACTTCCCCCTTCCCCGCCACACATACGCGCACACACACACACACACACACACACACAGCCCAGGGTTCCATCCTTTCCTTGATCACCCCCGTCCCCCAGCCCCCAGACGCCTCCCCACCAGCCCTGGCCTCCTCCACCCCTCCCACCCCGTCCCGTGATCCGGTGATCTGTCCTCTCTTTCCTTTTTCCCTCTGCTGCAGTCCCCCATTCCTTCTCACCTCCCAGGGCTTCTCCTTGCAGCGCCCCCTGTAGGGCTCCAGAGACAGAACAATGGGGCCAGCCCTATCCCCTGACCTGCTCCCCTGGGACCACACCTTCTTACGGAACCCACTAGACCTAGTTGGTCCATTCACCCACTCATCAACGCCATTTATTACTTTTGGATCATCCCGGGGCCAGGCTCAACAGTGCAGTGACCACCACAATTCCCATCCTTATGGCACGGACTAGCGGGGAAGCTGACATGAATCAAATAATTATACACACGATTAATTGAGTGCATTTGTCCTGAGTACTATTAAGAAATACAGGGATCCAAGAAATCCTATAACGGGGATGGTAGGGAACTAATTTAGTTCAGGAATTGGGGCAAACATTCCTAAGACAGTGATTCCTGAGATCACGATGGTGCACGCTTGGAGAATAGATTGGTATAGATACAGAGAACACTATTTGTGATAGATTCATGCTTTGTTTATACAGTAATATATTGCTTATAGTTTACATTATTTGTACTTTTGTATAACACATTTTTTTTTTCTGAGCACCTCACCTTACAGTTTACAAAATATTTGTACAATCCCTCACCACCTTGACTCCTCACACAGCCCTCAGAGGCAGCCAGCCATGGAGACTGCTCACTTGTTCCGTGGGAAGAACTTGGGTTTGGGGGTCAGATCATCCTGAGTTCTGATCCCAGGGCCATTACTAACTCACTGTGTGACCCTGTGTTTTGTGCTCTCCCTCTCTGGTTTTCAATCTTCTCTGCAAGATTGTCCCAATGGGCCAGACCAGGGGTCCCCACCCAGCCAGGGTACCTGTGAAATCCTGCAGCAAAGTTTTTATCGGATAGCTGCAAAATGAAAATAGAGAATACAGGTGACGTAGAGGGGTGTTGGGTTGTTGTTGTTTGGTTGTTTTTTTTTTTTTTTTTAGATTTTATTTTTAAGTGGACTCTACACCCAACCTGGGGCTCGAACTCACAACCCAAGATCGAGGGTGGCACACTCCACTGACAGCCACCAGGCACACCTAGAGGATTTTTTTTAATAACACTCAAGTTATTTAAGGGGTGTAACTATCTTTTTGTCCTAGATGTCTTAGCTCTTTTACATTAAAATGTCCTTATTTTATGAAACGTTGATGGAGGTTAATAATCTTGGGGGTGGGGGTTAATCTCCTTAACTGGCAAGTGGGCAGACCCCTTGATTTTAAGGGCTTATGGAATCCCAAAGATGGGGACCACTGGTCTAGCCCTTCCTTTAGCTTCCAGAAGTTCTGTGCCAGGTAGGACTTTCCGGATCCACACTGACCCCCGGTTTCTCCCTCCACAGGGTCCAGCCGCCGTTACCAGGTGAATGCTGTGCATGCCAGCAAGGCCTGCAACGTCATCAGCAAGTATACGGTCTTTGTGCCTGTGGACGTGAGCAGGAGCCGGTACCTGCCCACCGTGGTGGGGTACCCCAACTCTGGTAAGGCAGATGGGCACGTCTGAGGGCCAAGCAGCCCCCCCTTGGCTGTCAGAGGGGAGCTGGGACACAAAGGAGCACAGACCTGCCAAGAGGGGTATTAGGAATGGCCTAGAAGCAAAAAGGCTCCTGGCCGATGATGCAGTCACCATAGGGTGGTGGGTACATGAGCACCCCCCCGCCACTGCTCTGCAGAAGGCAATGAAACCACCCCACTCCCTTTTCCCCACCGAATGAATAGGACTTTATTGTGCTTTTCCAATTGGGACAATGTGTGTGCTCTCTGTAGAAAATTCTAAAATATAGAAAGACATAAAATAAATAAAAATGCCTGGAATTGACAGTCATCCAGAAATGAGTAACTAATTACCTCCTTGGTGTGACTATCCTTCCAGACTTCTCGCTGTGAATATCTACATGTAGAGAAATCAAAGGATAATTTTTCATGAATTGGATTATACCAATATGTGCTGTGTTCTACCAAATGTGGGTGTGGAAAAAAATCTTTCCATGAAGGTGACTGTCTATCACCACTTTAATAGCTGCAGTATTTTCTACTTTCATCATCAATTAGACAGTGGTCCAAAGCACTTTATCTACATCGAATGACTTAATCCTCAACACGGCTCCACAAAGTAGATGCTATTATTATCCCCATTTTACAGATGGGAAGGTAGAGGCAGAGGGAGTTAAGTTACTTGCCCAAGGTCACACAGCAGTGAGGGGCAGAGCCAGGCTTTGAATCTCGAGGCCTGGCTGCAGAATCTGTACTCTCTCCTACTCCTCTCCACTACCACTTAAGGTTTATCAGAACCTTTTCCACCAGCCCCCCAGGTACTAGACCTTCAATTTATTCCCCTTTTGATTATCATAAATTATGGTGCAAAGAACATCTTTGTGCCCCTGTCTGGTTATCTCCTAGGGGTTAATTAACTCTCCAAAGTAAGATTGCGGATCAAAAATTCTGCCCATTTAAAACTGGGATGTGTTTTGCCAAAGTGACCTGACTGGAAAGGTTGTTTGGGGGTCTGCTTTTCACCAACACTGTGTGCTGCTTATCTTTCTAAACGCTGCCAGGCTCGTAGGCAAGGGAAGAATCTCTCTTTGGGGAATTTTTTTAGTTTTTTTGGTGAGATACTTTTCATAGGTACATTAACTATATGTACTTTTTCTTTCCTGAATTACATTTTCGCATCCTCTGCAGTTCCTTTTTTTTCTTTTTTTTTTTTTAGCAGAACTTCTAAAGAATGTTTAAAAACAAAATGTGCCTCTCCTTGTTCCTGTCTCCCTCCTCCCCCTGCTGTTTTTTATCTGTGGTATCAAAATCATCGACGACCCTGTTCCCTCTTTGGGTTGCTCTCATTTCAGGTTCTGGCCAGAGGCCCAGACTGTTACTCCACTGGACATTCTCATTCACTGGGCTTTGTCATCCTGAATGACATTCAGGATATCTCACCCGCCTCGCCCATCTCAGACCATCCTAGTGTCTATAGCCCACAGCCTAGAAGGTTCAGGGACCTGGCCCATGTCTTAACTCAAGTCCCACAGCCCCCTAAGACCTGGATCAGTACTTCTCAAAGTGTGGTTCAGGAAACTAGAACCCTAGTTGCATGTCCTGAGCATGGCCATTCAGCACAAACTAGGAAGTCCCAGTTTAGGAAATACATGTAGGAACCACTGGATTAAATAAAGCTCAACGCCCAGTGTTTTCTTGATTGCAGAACTTGTTAGAGCCTTTAGTATGTTAATATACATCAGGAGGCTCAGAGAAGGGACTGTATTTTGCAGCTTCTTCCAAACTTACCTCCCCTTAGAACTCCTCGTTTTTTTAAGGAATAGTTTACAGACTAGTGTTCTCCAAGAGTGGGGTTCCCCAAAACACACTTGAGAGTGCTATAGCTTCATCTCTCTTTATCCGTCCCCCGTTGGTGAGGCCTTGTCCTGTGGGAGGGGAATGGGGACCTTGGTCTCTGAGACCACAAACTAGGAGAGAAGGAAAATTGGGTGTTCTTGAGAAAAAGCAGACTTTTAACTAACTAGAAAATATTGCTGCTTCCTGAGCATTGTCTTGGCCATAGCATGGACCTGGCAAGGTTATTATCCCCATTTTCCAGATGAGGAAACTGAGGCACAAAGTGGCTAGCACCCCATCCAGCTACTAAGAGATGGGGCTGAGGTTCAAACCCAGGTCATTCTGGCTCCAAAGCTCATGGTCTTACCTTGTACAATGTCTTTCTGTCTCTGGACAAGTGACAGACTGAAGGCAGAATCATTCCTGCCGGCCCTGGGGGAGAGGCAAAGGACTGACCCAAGTGTATCCATCTGACCCCTTCTCCTTGTCCTCATGAAGGTGCTGCATGGCGGATGATCAACTCTCAGGTCCTGACCCGACAGTGGAGGGGCGCTGCTGCTGGCTTCGGACGGTCTCAGACCCTGCTCGGGGAAGACTCGGCAGGAGACGGCAAATTCCAGAACCTAAGTAAGAGCTGCCTCAGGCGTGTTCTGAAGCCTGGGCCCCAGAGGCACCCTGGTATCCAAGGCCCCCTGGAAGCCAGGCTCTGAGTCTGCCCTCTGGGCCCCCTGCAGGACCAGGGTGAGGCCAGGCCTCCCAGGCTCTCGGAGGCTCAGCTTGGCCCAAGTATGCCTCCGTGAACACAGCTTTGCTGAGAGAGCTGCCGGGGGCCCGTGGGCCCGCACCATCCCTCCACCTCTCCCCTTTCAAAGTCTGCAGAGCCCAGGGGCTGTTCCCTGACTCCAATCTCTTGAGTCCTCCCAGGCACCAAATGCCAGGAAAACTAATAAACAAGGGGAAAAGCGAGGGCCAAGAGGTAGTTCCATCTGTTTGGGTCCTACCATCTGCTTCTTTCAGAATTCCCAAAGCTTCCTTTCTGCCTTTGCCTGATTTCGTTGTGCCTATGGCTTAAGCATCCATGATTTGACCCTTTTGTGACCTGGCACTAATTCACAGGATAGCTTTAACCCTCTGTTTCCTGAATGTCTGCATGTCTTTTGGTCCCTCCATAGACAGCCTGGCTGCTGCAGTAGTCCTAACCCCTTCCTTCGTGCCCTCTCATGTATCTCCTGCCTTCTTCTATGCATGGGAAGGACATCAGAAGTCCCACCTGGCCCCTAGGCCAGACACCCAGATCATAATAATTTTTTACCTGGGGGACTCGAAAGTTCTCACAGACATTGATGGAGTAAAAAAAGGAACAGTGTGTGAGGGGTAGAAGAATGCGTAACTACAGAACTAAAAAGCTCTGCCAGCTCTTTGGTCCCTCAGAGCCTCCCAAACTGGGGGTGGGGGAAGCTGCTGGAACCCCTGAGCCAAGCTGGGCTTCCCGTCTAGAGGAAATTTCTGGCTACCTTTTCATTTCTCCATAGCCCAGTTCTTGGTGGCCCATGGCTTCCATCAAAATCACAAATCCCTTTTTTTTTTTTTAAGATTTATTTCTTTATTTTGAGAGAGAGCAGGGGGAGGGGCAGACGGAGAGAGAGAATCCTGAGCAGTCTCCCCACTGAGCCGGAGCCTGCCGTGGGGCTGATCCCACCACCCTGAGATCATGACCTGAGCCGAAATCAAGAGTCGGACCCTTAACCGACTGAGCCACCCAGGCGCCCCAATCCCTTCTTTTCATTGACCTCTGATTCACACCCAAGTGTCTGTAACTTCTAAACTCTTATTCTATCCCAAGCCCTTTCTCTCCCCAAGGATGACAATAGCTAACACGTACTGTGAGTTTTCTTTGTGCTGGGCGCTGTTCTAATCTAATTTCCTCCAAGCATCTGACAAAGTTGGTGAGGAAAGCGAGGCTCAGAGAAGTTAAGTGACTTACTCAGTGTCACACAGCAGATACATGGTAGAGCCAAGACTTGAACCCAGGCAGTGCTTGGCTCCAGAGCCCATGAGGTGAACTACCATGCTGCTGGCCTCCCGCCTGACTCAGTTGCTCCACATCCAGTCCCTAATTCGCTGTGGTGCTGCTCCCGAGCCCCCAGCGATAAACAGAGCTTCTGGGCCCTCACAGAGCCACTAATGGTCTCAGAGGGGAGACAGAAGCTTTGATAAATTGTGTGCATGAAGACTTTTCCATATTTTATACTCTTCCCTTGTGGTATATTGCCCATCCTGGTCCAGCCCTTGAAATAACGATCATAAGAATAATCACCCTGATGATGCATATTGAACAGACTATGTACAGTTATTATCCCCCATTTTACAGATGGGGAAACTGAGGCTCAGGGCCCTCTGACAAGTCAGTGCCATGTTCTGGTGCCTCCTGCAGAGTTGGCATGAGCCCCTCCTCAGTGAGGCACAGACCTGGTGAGCTGAGGCCCACCTCTCCCCCCACCCTCAGGCCCCTGACCTGCTCCATTGCCCTGCTAGGTCTATAGCTCGGGGCTTTATTGAGCACTTCCCTTGGGCCAGGCACTAAGCACTAGCTGGGTATTACCTCCCTTGATCCCTACAACAACACTGTGAGATGGATAGTCCGATCCCCAATTTTCAGTCTAAACTTATAAAGGAAGTAACTTTCCCGGGGTGACACAGCTAGTTAGTGGGGGAGTTGGGATTTGAATCCAGGTGTATCTGACTCTTATGGGGGAGCAATGGTGTTCTCTCTGGAAGTCAAAGGCCCACACAAGCAGGGGTGGAAACCCTGACCTTGCTCTCCCAGCCCACCCCCAGGTACTGTGAATTTGGACCTTCACTCTCCTTGGGGGGATGAGAGGTGAGAAAGGGAGGGCCAGAGGAGCTCAGGCCTCACTGGCTTCATCATCTGTTGTAGATATGGAGGAAAGCCCCACCGCGCCCTTCAGTGAGATCACGTCCCCGGGCTGCGAGAAGTATGTTGCTTCCGAAGGTGAGTAGGCAGTCAGCCAACTCTGTCCTTAATTAAGATGGTGGCAGTGATTGATCCTTGGGCCAGGAGAGTGTCTTAGCCCAACAAAGTCCTCAGTGGTTCATTTATTCCTCAAAACATCCCTGTGTGAGATTTTTTTTTTTTTTTTAAGATTTTATTTATTTATTTGAGACAGAGAGAATGAGAGACAGAGAGCAGGAGAGGGAGGAGGCTCAGAGGGAGAAGCAGACTCCCTGCTGAGCAGGGAGCCCGATGTGGGACTCGATCCCGGGACTCCGGGATCATGACCTGAGCTGAAGGCAGTCGCCCAACCAACTGAGCCACCCAGGCGCCCCCTGTGTGAGATTAATAGGAGTATCCTTAATCTAACGATGTGGAAACTAAGACTCAGAGAGGTAAACTGACTTGCCCAAGGTCACACAGCAAGTTAGTGACAACACCGGGCCTGGAACTGGACCTCCCAGTTCCCAGCTGAGGGACCATTCTACCACCTAACTCTGCTTAGAAGCCTCCAGCAATGTGCCAGGGAAGGAAATTCAATGTCCCCACTCAGGGATGAGGGGTCTGATATGAAGCCATCACTGCCTCCCGTGGGTAACCTTCCAGAAGACACCAGCAGCCACCTGCCACGGAAATTTGGAGGTCTATTTCTTACACGTGGACATACATATTTCACCCTTCCTGACACCACCTGGGTCAAAAGCAGCCCTGCAGCCTAACGGTTAGCTTGGACCCCTAGGGATGTAGGCAGGCCCCTTCTCCTCTCCAGGCCTCTGTTTCCCCGCTTGGCAGGGAGCACTTGGACAGGGTCATCTGTCAGGCCCCAACCGTCATTCTGTGGCTCTCCAGGTCCCCTGCGCAGTCTGGCCACCAATACCCTTTCTTCCTTCAAGACCTCAGACTCTCTCTTTGGATCCAGGTACGTGGGATTTCCACCAGAGGTAGGCTGACCCCTGGGGCCGTCCCTGGCTTGGGAGGCAGAAAGCAGGCCCAGCCTGACATTTAGACAAAAATGAACAATCTGAAGGGTATCGAGAAGGCCTCCTACCCCCAGATACACTGTCTTCCGGTTTCGCACTGTGGAAGCCCCCCAACATGTCCATGGTCTCCATGCAGGTGCAAACCCCCTGGGAGGGCTAGCCTAAGATTCTCTGACCACTGGGCTGAACAAGAATACACTATCGGAAGAGGGTCACAGAAAGAACACTAACGTGTTCCTCATCTAGGCTGCTGCTAACTCACTGAGTGACTCGGGAAACGCAAGCCCCCCTCCCTGGGCCTCAGTTTCCCCAGCTGTCAAATGAGGAAGTCGGAGAAAGCCATCTGTCACCTCCCTTCTGGCCCTGACTTTTGGAGGCGGCTGAGCGGGCGCTGGGGGGTGGGATGACCAGGGACACTAGGGGGGCAGCTCTGGCCACTCTTGCCCGGTTCCACCCACACAGGCTGAATCTGAGCAAGTCCAGGCTGCTGACTCGAGCAGCCAAGGGCTTCCTGAGCAAGCCACTGACCAAGGCTCCAGAGTCAACCCCAGGGAGCCAGAGTTTCGACTATATCCCGCTGGTGAGTGCCCCAGACCCCAGACCTCAACCCCCAACACACTCCGAGGGGCCTTCCTGTGAGCCTCCTGCCCACCTCTCCCCCTTCACAAAGGGAAGAAGACTGAGAGCTTCCCACCCAAGTAGCCAGCAGGGCAAGGGCCGGGGGCCTAAGAGTGTTGCTAGAAGCCAGCACCAGCATCACGAATATTCTTTGCAATCTGCTCTCTTTGCTTTAAAAAATTCACAGGAATTTTGCATTCTACTCCACCATCTATGTGTGTTTATTTTCCAATACATAAAAATAAGCCTTGAAATAGCTCACAAGTAAGTAAAATTAACACCCCAGGGACACGCACCATGTTTAGCAAGCGACTCTGCAGACAGCCCAGCATGCTGTGGCAGGGTGAGAAGCCCAGGTCTGGAGGGGGGGGGTCTCTGCATTGAAGAGCAAGGGGGCCCAGCGGGGCTTGGGGACTAGAGGGTGCTGGGAGAGGGGCCCCAGTGTGAGCTGCACCACACAGCCCCAGGCCCCACACACCCAATGCATAGCGTCACATCGAATTTCCAAACCTCCTGGGCTGCAGAGCACTGTGCTTGTGTTAAGTGTTTGTGGGGCCAGGCACCGTGCTAGACCCTGGGAGGCAACCTTGAACTGGATGGACATAGTCCCTGAGCTCATGGCACTCAGTGCCTAGTGGGGACATGGACAAGGAACCAGACACTCCTGATGCTTGGGTGATGTGAGAGCAGAGGTCAGGTTTAGTGCGGGACATGTGACGGCCGGAGGGACACCACTTCAGGCTTGAGGTCAGGGAGGAAGGAAGCCTGACTGCCTGAGGAGTACAGTGGTCAGACCGAGACCTGAAGGGTGAGGAGTCATGGCCGGCAGTGGAGAGAGGAGAGAGCTTGGGGGCCGGAGAATTGGGGGTGGGTGGCGGGGGGATAGTTGAGGATGAGCCAGCGATCTGGAAATCGCTGATTCTAAGAGAAACTTGAAGTCACTGAGCTGATGGCCTCCAAAGAGCGCCATGGTCTATGCCTTACCAAAACCCTTCAAATTCGGGAAAGAGGAGGAGTTGGGGGGATGGGGCAGGGGAGGAAAGTGGAAGCAGCTGGTGGGTTGCAGAGCTGAGTAGAAAGTACACCTGTTGGGACTTAGAAACTGATCAGTGTGGAGGAGGGACTGGGAGGTGAGCTGCCCAGAGTGTGTCGGAGGGCAGTGGATGGCCCCAGTGGCCGAGCGGGGCCCACCTGCGCAGGACAAGAGGCAGGTGTGAGGGGAAGATGTTGGGTTGGGCCTGATCAGTCTGAAGGGCCTGTGGGATAAGCTCAGAGATGCCCGGTTGGCCGGGGTGTCCCGCAGATCTCCCAGGCGCGAGGGGCAGGCTGGGGGCAGCGAGGGGGGATGAATGGGCGGGCTGTGTGGACCCAGGCTTTTGCATGGCCTGGGACTCCACAGGCTAAAAAGTTTGAGGCCCACTGAGGGGCTCCCCCACACACAGGTGTCTCTGCAGCTGGCCTCCGGAGCCTTCCTGCTCAACCAAGCCTTCTGCGAGGCCATCCACATCCCCATGGAGAAGCTCAAGTGGACCTCACCCTTCACCTGCCACCGAGTGTCCCTCACCGCCCGCCAGCCTGAGTCTAAGACCCCAAGCCCCCAGCTGTGCCCCAGCCCCTCCGCGCAGCACCCCTCCTGTGATGGCTTCTCCCCGGAGCCTCTGGGGGAGGCCAAGCCAGGCTGGGAGCCCAGGGCCGTGATAGAACACACGGGGAAGCTGTGGGCCACGGTGGTAGCATTGGCGTGGCTGGAGCACAGCTCGGCCTCCTACTTCGTTGAGTGGGAGCTGGTGGCCGCCAAAGCCAACTGGTGGCTGGAGCAGCAGGAGGTGCCCGAGGGCCGCACGCGGGGCACGCTCAAGGCGGCCGCCCGCCAGCTCTTCGTGCTGCTGCGGCACTGGGACGAGAACCTGGAGTTCAACATGCTCTGCTATAACCCGAATTACGTGTAGTCGGGGCGGGAAGGGAGGAGAGGGAGGGGACCGTGCGGGCCTGGCGGGGGGAGCTTTTGCAGCTGTAGCCAATATAACGGTTGCTAGAAAGAGCCCTGGACTGGCAGTCAGGAGGCCTGAGTTCAATCCCAACTTTGCTACCACCTAGCTGTGCGATTGTAGGCCAGCCCCTACCCCCTCTCTGGGCCTCAGTTTCCCCACCTGTAAAATAAGTGCGTGAGGTGAGGGAGTTGGACTAGATCTCTAGACGCTCCCAAGGTTCCTCTCGGCCGGATGCCCAGGCAGCCGTGGGGTGGGGAGAGAGAAAATACAGTTTAAACCCCAGTTCTCTCTGGAAGAGGGTCCCGTGGGCAACGCCCCCCAAAATAAAAGGGTGGATGAGCGAACCCAAAAACTGTCAGTAACCAGACCCGCGAGTTCGCGTCTAGGCACGGGAGGCCACCTTGTCTCCACGGTGACAGTCCAGCACCCCGAAATCCCACTTACAAACCCACTGGAGAACCATCCTTCCCAACATGTTACAAAGAGTCACTCAGGGGCCTTTTCCCTGGGCTTGGAAGCCCTTAGTATATTCTAGTTTGCAGACTCTCGGTGACCTCCAGTCTGAGAAGAGGAGGCGGGAGGCCAAGGGGAGACCCCCTGCCAGTGGAGGTGTGAAAACCAAGCTTCAGTCTGTGCAAAAATAGTCCAAACAAAATAGACATGGTCACAGAAGCCGGTGGAGAAACCAGGCAACACCTTAAATAATTTGCACAGTTTTAGGAATTGTACGAGGCGACCTCCGCTGGCGCTGAGGGGCACGCGAGCCCCCGCGTCGGCTCCATTCTGGGGTCTCGGGGTCCCTCTCTGCAACAAAGAACCAGTGCTTGGCTGCAGTGCATTTGGGGCCAGGAGCTTCAGCTGGGAGGGGGATTTATTCAAAGAAATGAAGGACTCTTGAATTGTCCAGCAGAGAGACCCTGGGCACTTCCCTCTCTCAAGCCCACATGTACCCTGTGGTGACAGGCGCAGCCTCAGATTCCCTGGGGGCTGGCGCCCAGTCGTCTCTGCCCTGAAGACTCCTCTGGAAGTCCAGCAGCCTGGGACTCCAGGCTGAACCCACACACCACCCTCTCCAGGCCTTAATGTCTCTTCACCAAGTGGTCCCTTCGGGCCCCAGGGCCCTGGCACAAAGCCAGTCCCTCTCCAGGGAGATCTGGAGGTCCCCACAGAGCAAACTGACCTGTGGAGGGGCTGTGGGCTCTGGCACACGTCCCAGCCTCACGAAGACTCGAGAAATGCCTGGTCTTCAGCAGGTGCGGAGGGAGAGAGGGGCTCCAGCAGAATGCCCTTCGGGCGTAGAGAAGAAGATGTGGTATCCTGCCCCCCACACGCCTGCCCTGGATTTGGGGCCCTGCCCTGCCCGCCTGCTGTGCTGCAAAATCCCCCAGGAGGGCCTCCCTCCCCTGGGGTCCTGCTGAGGCTCCGAAAACCTGGTGATCCATCCCCAAGGGAGGGGAAGGGGCTGGAGACCTCATATAAAGTCCTGTCTGCTGCTTGGCTGAGTGTTGTGCTTTAGAATCACCCTCTGGGGAGGAACCCAGCCGGGCAGTCACCAGCACCGTGGCCACCACCACCCCAGGTGGCGCATGGATGACAGTCTGGGCCGTTGGCTTAAAATCAGTGCCACTTAGCGGGATAAGGGTTTTAGGCTCTCTTGCTCAAGGCCTCAAGCAGGTGTGAGGACAGCCTTGTCGCCTCCCTACACACCTCCCCGCACAAAAGTAACACTCATGCAGCCAGCAGCCCCAGCTTCGGGGTAAGGAGAGAGGGGTGTGACATCCCCTCCTTGGCCCACCATTAGTGGAAGCACCTGTCAGGCCGAGGGTGGGAACTCCTGGCACTCGTTTGGGCAAGTGGCTTCCCCTTGCTGGGTGCGCAGGAGCTGGGGCGCTGCCCCTGCTCCAACTTTCCCAGATTCTCTGCCTTTGTGATGCTTACCCCGTAGTGACCATGGACTTGCGCTCACTGTCTGTGTAACCTTGAACCAGTTATGTGTGCTTTCTGGGCCCCTCTCCTCTCAACACGATGAGACTGGACTGGGCCACCAGCCTCCTGAGCCACCTGATTCGGGGTCTCCAGGCTCAGTGTGGACAGTGAGCAGGTTCAAGGTGGCCCAGTGTGGAACTGGAAGGAGTAACCGAGAACCCAGCAAGGTGGTAGGTGTACCACCCCCTTCTCCAGGGAATGTCCTCGGATCCTGCTCCAGGAACAGTTGCTGGAAATCTGGGCCGCTGACATCCACACCCCCTGGCTCCCCTGCCTAGCACCCAAAGGGGTAGAGGAACAAATCCTCATGAATATCAAATAACCCCAGGGCTTTGGGGGACATCTGGATAAGAGACATTTCTTAAAGGCCTTCAGAGGTATTGAGATGACACGCAGTCTCCGGAAACTGCCCCCAGGATTGCCAAGCCCAGAGCAGAAGGGACTAGCTTTAAGGAAAAAATAAGAACCTTAGGTAATTAGCACATGCACTGAAGCTAAGATGGTTCCAGAAATTCTCAAGGAGGGACACACTGCTCCTGCAATTGGGATTAACTTGGATCTGGATTTTTTGTTAAGCTAGCCCTTGCCTTCTAGGTGATGCAAAGAAACATTTATGCCCTGCCTGGCTGAAGGATCAGGAGAGTGCACATGCCTAATGGCCCTGTCCGACAGAGGCCGCCTTCAGCGGCAAGAACACTGAGGAGCATCGGGGAATTTCAGTGCTGGTCTAAACTCCATCAGCGTGCTGTGTGACTTCTGGCAAGTTGCTTGCTTTCTCGGGGCCCTGTTTCATCTTTTGTAGAATGAGGAGGTTACACTCAATCAGCATTTCCAACACTATTCCTTGGTTGATATGTGAATTAGCAATTCACGAGAAACTGTCCAGCAGGCAAATATGTTGGGGAAACACAAGGAAAACAGACTTCTTTAGGTCAAGACAGACTCAGAGTCATGAATATGTAAATGTGTATTGTCAGTCTCCGAAGAGGTGATTCAGAAGGTTGCTCTCCCCCAGGTTATCGGTTGGGAAAACACTGGTCTAGATCTCCCTTAGGGATCTTCAGGCACTGACATTCAAAGAGCCTTCATTGAGAACCTCCTGTATGCCAGGCCTCCTGGGGCAGCAGAGTGAACACATCGGCTGGTGCTCCCGTCCTTTTGGAGCTTGGTGAGAAGTATCTGAAGAATGTCTGCTCCATGAACCACTTCCCCACTCCCTGGCATTCCGGGGCGAGTATGTCTTCGCCTGCCACATCCCCAACCTCTGATGCTGCCGTATGTAGGGGTGGCCTCAGATGGTGCATCATTTGCACTAGAGGACAGCCCCTGAGCTTTCCGACACCGATAGTGGGTTAGAGCAGCATGGCACCCTGGCAGGAGCGCCTGCGATGGGCCACCTTTCCCAGGAGGGACAAGGGAGTCCCTGCCACAAAGTGTCCCAAGGATCCAACCTCCTGCCACACATAGAGTCCTCCCTCCGGGCCCCCTCAGCTGAGATCAACTCCAGATCCTGGGAAAACTGGGCCCCACACTTGGGCAGACTTGCTCTGGATTTGAAAATAAACACCGGCTTCCAGGTAGCACTTGCGTTTTCCCCATCCTTCCCCTGCCTGCGGACAAAACAGACGACATCTACTGTCCTCGGCTGCTATAACAGGGTGAATGGAGTAGCGAGTTCGAAAACTACCTGCTGTGGGGGGGGGGGGG